GGAAACATTAAGTACAGCTTATAGCTACTTATATTGAGCACACAACTACTTAATAATGGGTAACTTTTGCTCCCACTTTCCCCTGATAGCTAATTACAAATCTAAAATACCTCTTCAATTTATGTTTTAGGAATAAGATTTTAAATAATATCTATTTTTGCAAAGTTAAGAAATAAGTATCCCTGAGAGATTGCCTATATTAGGAAAAAGTTTGTATGCCCATTTTCCTACAGGTGCCCAAGGGGCAGGTATTTGTTCTCAGGGTGAGCTGTCCCTATAGGAAGACGTGTGGCTCTGGAAATGCACTCACTAGGAGTGGGGCTGTGTACACCTGCACTTGGTTTACATGACTTCTCTATCCTAATCACTTTTAGACCCAGATTCTAGAATATCAGCTGCTGTTGGCAGGGTCTGGCTTTGTTGGAGGATTCCTGTAACCTTTTCTTCTAAAATGCACGATGCTGCAGGTTTTATTAAACAAAACAAAACAGTGCAATGAAACCATCACAATTCTCACCACTGCCTGCCCAGTCAACCTGTCCACTGATACACCCTTGTTTCCCTTTTGTGACAGATCTCCTGCTTGAGCATTCCCTATAGTTTGAAGGCAGCTGGTTTTGGTTTCTTGAATCCATCCATCTTCCTTTTATGACTGAGTTCTCACGACCATCGTCCAAGAAAACTTGCTGACCTTTTAGATCTCATTCTACATCAGTAGGGTCAGAATGACCAAGCATTCTACCCATGGAAAGTAGAAAATATATCCATCCTGGAGATTTTATCCTTCTATTGACATAACAGAATTTGAGAACAATTGGAAGCCATACATTGTCTTCTGTAATGTGCGAGTTACTATCTCCATTGGGCTGTTTAATAATTTTCTGACAATAGATCTTTCAAACTAGCTTTCCAACTCACTCTATTTTATGGAGAGTTTTGTGCTAAAAAGTCCTTACTGGATGTGGTTATGACTTAGGTGTCCTTCAGGGTGATTACTCTTCTGGCTGGTGTACAAAGCAGCCCTCTTTGGTATCTTTGCTTATTTGAGAATCATCATCCAAAGGAACAGTTCCCAGATAACTACCTCAATAACTTTAAAATATGATCACAACTTGTTGACTTAGGGGGCTTTCTAGAGGACAGAATGCATCCTATTAGGCTCTGCATCTGAAAACTTGGTCTATCAAACTGCAATGAATTCAAATAACCTTTCTTCTTTGGAGAAGGGTAAAGTGATTCTTGTTTTGAGTTTTGTCCTGCTTTGTCTTGCATTGTAGAAGGGTACACATAATAACTCTCCTGGAGAACTTTTGTGTTCTTTCTAGTTTTATCTAAGTCTATAATACTTATCTAAGTCTATAATACAATTGTCCAATTGTCTTAAGTCTGACCTATTGGCTTTAGCTTCCTTTACAAACCTTTTATTCTGCCATCCAATTCATAGACACACACACTACTCAGTATTCCTGTAATATACAAAGATGCAAGTTGGCATCTATTGGGCTCTTATTAGTAGTTGGGTCCCATTATAATTACACATATTAACTCATTTAATCTTCACAACCTGTGATTTGGGTATTAGTGTCATTCCCATTTTATGAAAAAGGAAATTGAGGCTCACACAGAGGAAGCCACTTTCACAACTTCTAAATTAAGCAGCTAAGACTGAAATTAATACCCATCTGGTTCCAAAGCCATGAGGATATATTGCTTCCCTACAAAACTCCAAGCAGACCCTTTCAGGCTGGAAATCTATAATTCTTCAGTTGAAAGAGCATATGTTGTGAAATACAATTTGGAGACCCAGAAATTAAAGGTAAATAGTTTGATCCAGTTCCAATTTTTAATATTTTTTATGCCTGCTTCTGTGGCTAGCCCTTGGATTTCTTGTTATTTTTTTCCCTTGATGTAAGAAATGCTATTTCTGTTTAAGTGCTGCTGATTTTGGAAATCGTTCTCATGACTAAATATTTGTTTGCCTAGTAAAAGCCCAGGGAAAGGCTAGGCTGCCAGTGGGTGCTGAATAAAGATTAATGGATGGCCCTGCACGTCTGTGTGGGAGTCATGTGCTTAGGATCTGCTCCCGCTCTTCGAAAGTGACAGAAAGGAGGTGGAGAAGATAAAACTTAGAGAGTTGCCACCAAGCCCCAGTCATGGGTTTCTGGATTGGGCTGTATCAACGGAAAGGTCCCAAAGGTCCTCATGCAGCAAGCACGAGTGGGAATGTAGGGCATGCCTGGGATGTGCTGGGAAAATGAAATTCCAAGATTCATATCAAATAGGAAAGAAAACTTGGTTTTGTGATGAGGACTTATTGTTTAATTGACACATTTTCTATTATTATATACATATAGCAGATGAGTAATATGCCATATCAGATGGTTTATTCAAATTGTCAATCAAGCGCTGAAGCATGAGTAACTTTCCAGAGAAGCTTCTGCGAAATCCATGCAACATAAAGTGGCAGTAACCAGTCAGACCTCCATCTACTACCAAATCATCCCTGAAAATCTTGGGGGAATCAAAAAAGGGGTTCCCCCCAAATGCATGGAATATATCTAGATAGGAAGGAGACAATAACTCAAATTGACTTCACTCAAAAGTCAAATGCCCATGTGCTACCCTTGATTGCCACTTGACCGAAAGTCTAGGGTTAGCTATAGGGCCTGGGAGAGGACACCTTCGTTATGAATAAGGAATAGTGAGAAACTTTCCAAATATCAGAAGAATTTGAGATGTGAAGGCATTCACTTGCAAAATAAATCTTTGCTTTGGCATCAGAGAAAATGGAAGGAGGAAAAACCTCAATTATTAGGACTATTACCATCAATCTCAGGTTGCCATGGGGTATTCTAGTATTGTGTAGAGAAGTGTCCCTGGCAGCCCATTGGATGGCAGTGATTCTACTCATAGTGCTCCCCCCCCCTCAGTTGTCTCCTCTGCATGAGCAAAATAAAGATTAACTTTTCAGAATCTGTTCCAACTCTCATATTTCGTGTCATCTTTGATGGGTTCCTCCATATAAACATTTTTGAAGTTTGGGATGAGAATTTATTTATATACCTCTACATTTTAAAAACTCCTTTTTAATCCCTCACCAAATTCTCCTTAGGCTAAGGGGATCTTAGGAATTTTGATAATCTGGGACATCAGAGAATAGTTTATTTTATCAACACATTACCCTCCATTGCTGGTACCATATCTCGCCAGTTTTTCCTCCTAAAAGTGACTTTGAGAAGCAAACCCAGAAGGTGTGTTAGGAAAGTACATATTGTGGCCAGGAGAGAACTCATTACATGTTTGCTGCTTAAAAACATAAAAATAAGACAGCTCATGCAAAAAAGAAATTTACAGAAAAAAATATATAAATTATACCCAAGTTATGGGTTATGGATGTACATTTATAAAACCACCATCCTAAAATAAAAATTCAAATTTTGAGAAGTGGGAAGGGCTATTTTTCTGGTACCAGGTTTGTCAGCATCCAGGTGGGATGGACAGATAATGTGGATACCTGGGCCATGCTGAGCAGCACAGCCCAACTCCTTTGAGTTGATTCTCCTACAAAGACCTTAAAGAGCTGCTGATGGTCCTCTTAACAGAATCAATGAATCTTTATTTCCTTGAGTCTCTCATTTGACCTTATTTTGTTTTGAATCAGAGAAGAATGTAAGAAAGGAGTAAACTGTTGGGGTGAGGTAGGGTGAGAGGTGAGGTGGGTGAAGGGGATTGAGGAAGCCCCAAGGAGATGTCTGCATTGTGGAGCCTACAGACAAGATCACAGGCTGCTTATGGTCACACGGGATGTTATTGTTTGCTTGCTGTGGCCTTATTTGTTCCCGCTTCTCATTTCAGATTCCTGCCTTGATGTAATAAGTGAACATCTTCCCAGCCATCATCCCATATTGACAAGCAAATGTCATCCATGTTTGATTGACATTCATTGCTCCTGAATGCAGAAGTGTGATTTAGGAATCAATTCTACTTATTTATTTAAAGCTGTTCTTGTTATATATTTGTTGGTGGGGTAACTCACCTAATATCTACTCTAAGGGCTTTCTATTAATATTTGAAATCCAGGCTATTTCCTCTCCTGCTCTCCCAATGTGAATGGGGACTTTTGTCATAGTTTTCCTATTTGTCTCTCCCCCAAGGTGCATTTAGGAAATCTGCTATGGGACATGTAGAACTCTTCCATATCTTAGGAAAAGACCTGGCCTAGCACTTGTGTGGGCTCTGCTTGCTTTATCGTAAGACTTTTGAAGGTATTTTGACAAGTGATTATTTCTCACACATGTAGCACCTTTAAGCAAATGCGACTTCAGGTCCAATGACAATATCTTCTGAAAGGCTGCTAGAATTGTAAGCCTATAAGTCAAGTACATATGTATACTTTCCCCATTGTGCAGCACTTGTAAAAAGAACCAATACCCCCCCCCCCCCTTCTTTATGCAGTGGACATGTCCATTTAAAATCATTGAGAAATGTCTTTTGGTTTTTTAGCCCATCTCACTGTTCACAGGGTTAACATCTAATTTCATTTAGAAGGCAGGGGAGAAAAATCATAAGGTTAAAAAATATCATATGTACCATCTGGAAAATTCTACAGGGCCTTCCTTATGTTAAAAGTGGTATTTTGAAAAACACCTGAAAGAGCTGACTGCGGGTGAGCCAGCAGAGAAATACTGTCAAGCAAGCCACCCTCCTTTCAACCTTCACCTCCACCCTCCAACTGAGGCTGCCAGCAGTGGGGACATAGAGGACTTAGGTGTGACCCTTGAATCCTGAAAGCTGTTGCACAGCTGTCTCCCTCCCCCAAGTATGTCCAGCGAGAGCACTGCCATCGCCTGGGTTCAGCAAGGGAGTATTCAGGATCTCACTGTTCATCCATGTGCAGAGAGGGGAAAAAAAAGACAGGCCGAAAAAAAAAATCCCACATTGTCAGAGTAATGCCAAACTCTCTCTGAGTGGGATGAGCAGAGCAGATGCTGCAATGAGATGCCAAAGCGGCTCCCCTTCCTCTGTGCCTTGGGTGCCTATAAATTGCTCCGGCGCGCGTTTGTCAGCCTCCTCTTCTCCTGGCAGGTGGTACCCAGGCAGAATTCAGCGTTCAGTCTCTCTCTCGCTCCGCTCTCGGCCGTGAGGCGCTCGCCGCTGCTCGCTAGCTCCTCCACTCCAGCCCCGAGGCTCGCGGAGCCGACAGTGCCAGCCGCCGCCGCCGCTCCGCGCACCCGGGGGGCGCCTGGTCAGAGCTCGTGCTGCCAGCGCAGGACTTTGAGGTGCGCTTCTATTAGAGTTGTGGTGGCTGCAGAGGAGGGGGGGGGGGAAAGGCAGGGGACGAGCGAAGAGACCGAGCGAAAGAAGAGAAGGAGGAGGCAGAAAAAGGCAACTTCAGACGGAAAGTTGGTGCGAACTGGCGCAGTCTGCAAAAACGGAAAAGTCGATCGCAGGCAGCGGTGGCATAAAAGTGTGAGCGACCAGGACCAGCGCGAGAGGCAGCGGCTGGCTCTGCCCTCCGGGTGGCCGCGCCGGCGCCCGCGCCAGCCACAGGTGCGAAGGGGCTCGCAGGAGGCGAGAGGGCGCCCTGCGCACCCCTCCCCCAGCCCCCACCCTCTGCTCGGGACTTCAGCTCAAGTCACTTGGCGCCCGAGCTCCCTCCCCAGCCGCAACCTCAGCTGGGGGAGCAGGAGCCGGCGAGGAGCGGCCGGCGCCCGCCCGCCCAGGGGACTTGGGGTTCGAAGGGGATTGTTTTCGGCTCTAAGGAGGTCCCCGCCCAACCTTCAAAATTTTGTCCAAAAGCAGACAAGAGGATCGCCCCGCGCTGAGCCGGCTGGTGGGCAGCAGGAGGCGCCTGATCGCCGCCGGGGCGCTGGGGGTGGTGATGGTGCTGCTGCTGGTCATCCTCATCCCGGTGCTGGTGAGCTCGGCCGGCACGTCGGCGCACTACGAGATGCTGGGCACCTGCCGCATGGTCTGCGACCCCTACGGGGGCACCAAGGCGCCCAGCACCGCCGCCACGCCCGACCGTGGCCTCATGCAGTCCCTGCCCACCTTCATCCAGGGCCCCAAAGGCGAGGCCGGCAGACCGGGAAAAGCAGGCCCGCGTGGGCCCCCGGGAGAACCCGGGCCGCCGGGCCCTGTGGGGCCCCCGGGCGAGAAGGGCGAGCCGGGCCGCCAAGGCCTGCCGGGCCCGCCTGGGGCGCCCGGCCTGAACGCGGCCGGGGCCATCAGCGCCGCCACCTACAGCACGGTGCCCAAGATTGCCTTCTACGCTGGCCTCAAAAGGCAGCATGAAGGCTATGAGGTGCTCAAGTTCGACGACGTGGTCACCAACCTCGGAAACCACTACGATCCCACTACCGGCAAATTCACCTGCTCCATCCCAGGCATCTACTTCTTCACCTACCACGTCCTGATGCGCGGAGGGGACGGCACTAGCATGTGGGCTGATCTCTGCAAAAACAACCAGGTGAGTGCGGACTGGCAGTGGGGAGGGCGGGGAGCGGGGATGAAAGGTACAGGCAAGAGGGAGGAGACCCGGGAAATGGGGGTGGGAGCCAACCGAGGAAGGGCGCGGCAACCCTGATCCCGGGAGTTACTGCGAGGCGGACGTGGTGCTAAGCTAGAGAGGCGGGGGTCGGACACCGAGGAGGGCGCCCCGCAGCCTGGAGAGGGTGGTTCCAAAGTCTCTCCCCGGCGCTCCGTACGCGCGCTCTTGTGAGCACTACCCTCCTGGGGCGAGAAGCCGGTAGCTCCAGCGCTGGGCCGTCTACTCCCTCCGACGGCCCGTGCGCTGGGGGAGGTCCGGAGTAGGAAACAACCCCCTGGGCTTGGGATTTCAGCAGCTTAGGGTCGCTAGCTTTCCCGGGAATGGGTAGGATTGAGAGAGCCCAGAATGGGCGTGTCGAGGTGACAAACTCCGGGGAGACAGACAAGGGCTCCTAGGAGAAAGAGGGGACCCGGAGGAGGAGTGAGTCCAAGCGGGGCGCATCCAGGGCAGAGGCAGGACAGTAAGACCCGGAGTCATAGGGCCCTTGCAGCGTCCCAGACAGAAAAACTCACAAATAATAAATTTCACACTCTTGAGTCGAGTTCTTGGCTGAAGAAACCAGCTGTCAGCGGAAGAGGCAAGGAATGCTAAGAGAAGCAAAAGTTGAGACTCGGGATTTACACAGTGAAATCACGCACCCAAACACTGGACCCAAACTCTAATTGATCGGAGTAAGAACACACACAGGAAGGTGGCCTGAAAGGTCAGGCGACCGATTCCATCCCCGCTGTGTGGCAATGGGTCTCACCTCCAGGGAGACCCCAGCTACCTGTGAAGAGAGCCTTTCCAAACTCAGCCTTCTCGCTCACCCAGGGAAGCAACCTTGGCCTTTGACTAAAATAGCCTCAGTCACTAAGACCTGCTGTCCTGAGTTGTTAGCCGCTGACCTAAGGGCCAGGGGTTTGCAGTGTTAGGCTAGGGCCACTATACCGTTTGCCAGAGAAATTCGCGACCATTGCAACACTGAAGCCTGTTTGATCTCTTAGTCAGAGGAGGGTAAGAACGTTTCTACTACCTAAAAGTGTAATGTGACCTTTTGTACTCAAATCAGCAGCTGATGGGGTGAGGCCTTGCATCTTGCAGCCTGCGGTCGGGAATAAGTTCCTGGGCTTTGCCTGCTTATTGAGTGGCACTGGGAAAGGCCCGCGACCCCGCCATCGCCCTCAAGAGGCCTCATCTCACACAACAACTTTTGACTTAACAAGGGTTATGGGTTTCAGGTCACCGGCCCTCTGGAAATTCAGACCACCTTAGCTACAACCATTGAAATGGAAAAACGACGTGATTCAGTGTTAGAATTCTTTCAAAAGTGAAAGACAAATGTCCGAAGATGTGTAAGAGAAAAAAAAAATGCTGACCCTTTCTTTTTCTACAAATAGTTTAGGGTACCTTAGGGCACACAGAACAAAAAAGAGGAAAATGACCACCAGGAGGCACTGGCAGGGTTGTTTGTTATAGTTATTATACAGGAAAATAATGTTAGGATAAATAAAAATTATTCACGGAGCTGTGGGATAGTTATAGGTAAATGGCTGTAAAGGGCATGACTCACTGTTACCAAAATAGAGCTAGTGTGTCATTCTGACAAAATGGTTCTGAACAGCCCCTCCACAGGCAGCCATGAGGCACCCCTTTATTTACAAATTGGCTCTCTTCTGACCAAAAGGTTAGGTCTGGGAAATACTATCAGGCTGAAGAGATTTTTTTTCCCCCTTAGAGGTATCAATTAAAATGGAGTAAGTTTCCAGTTTTGTCCAAAGTGTATAAAAATGGTCACATTTTAAAACATCTGGATGCTGCAACTGCATACACAAGTCAGAATAATATTTAAAAATTAGTTTAAATGTTTATGTTTAGACTATGGAGATTGTTTATTGCAGGGTTCTAAGCAAAACATTTTCTTCAGATACTCTGTGTGCGTTTTGTTTTTAAAATTATTTCATTGTTTGGGGTATAAGCTGCTCCTTTGTATCACTCTAGCTTACACATTCTATGAGGATCAGAAAAACAAGGAAGGCAAAATAGTTCAACTACAAGGTATAATGATTTCCGCTGACAATATTAAGCTGCTATTTCTGCAAAAGGTGTGCAACAGGTAATTCAGAAAAATAAATAATATAGTGGTAAACAATATATTTTTGAGTTTGGTGTGGACTACTTTAGAAAATGGTTCTATTTCAATATTACTGTTAAGGAATTTTCTCTCTAGAACTATTTTATCAAGTCTGGTCTGCACCACTTATGAATAAGAAATCTTGTAAAAATCTCTTTTTAATTTTAAATAAATACTTTATCTTTGATTTTCAATTATACTCTTGTCTGATCACTTTTTAGAATGGCAGTTTTCCCCCACTCCCCAAGCTGAACCAGTTTGTTTTCATAAAATAAAAAACTCAGAGATCCATGTCAGTGTAATGTTCTATGGACTGAGTGGATTGAGAAGTGCAAAAATTAAACAAAAAAATACAGTTCACTCTAGGAGGGAGCAATGCCTTTGGACCATAACTGTATCAGAGCCATTTTTTTTTTTTTAATTCTTTGTATTGAATGTAGGATCACAGATGGAAACATCAAAGGCCAGTAAATTAACCTGATGTGCCACTTAACCTTTTGTTTATGATTCCACAGAAGTACAATGAAAATGAAATTATGAGAACATCAGCAGCAATTAATTAAATTAGCAAATGTTACCATCGACATTGTCTCTAATGATAAGCCCTCAACAATAAGATAATGCTAAAACTATACAACCTATTACATCCTCAAAACAGACCACTAAAAGGACCACGGTTCTCATATTCCCCATGAAACCATCAACCTAAATTTAATCTTACCATTTGTTGAGAGCCCATGACAGTGCATATTAAAGGTAAAAGTTGGACTCAAATAGCTTACAGAGATACAGGGAAAAAATTTTAATGCTTTTATACTTGTAGCTGGAAACCTGAAAAAAAAATGTTATATGAATACAATTATTATAATGCTGCTCTAATAAGCCACTCTAATAAAAATGAAACTTGTTTAGGATTAGAATTATAAAGAATAATAGACCAATTTTTTACTCATAAGAATTTATTAGTTATGGCAATAAACATGAAATATATTGGAAAAAATGAATAGTTTGTGGTTTGATATTACTTTATTAGAGAGATTAATGACACATCAGACTAATTATTTTTGTAGGGGCAGTGAAAGATGGACTAAAGATAAAGCAGAATCTAAATAGTTTACCTAATAAGAAAAGATTTTAAAGCAAATACAGGTAGAAATGAGTATATTATAGAAAAGGACACATCATAGTCCCTGACAAAATGCTGAAATCAGTGTACATTTAGGAACCTGAAAATAGCCTTCAGGGTGAACGCATTACCTTCCTCAATAGTTTGATGGCTTAAAGGACGAATTGCTGAAGTCACTGTGCTAGATATTAGAGCTTGAAATTTCAAGTCCCATTATACCTGTAGAGTATGAACAGGTGAGTGGGCATACTCAAGCCCTGTGCACTGAAGTATGGAGATTACTTAATTGGGAAAGTCTTGTGGTGGAATTTAGGTTTAAATCTTAGAGAACTGCTTTCATTATACAGCAATCACACTGGCTTTATCCAACAAAGGAAGTAAAAACCGTTCAGGGAGACCATCCAGTCTCTGGAATCTCTCCAATGCATTTTCAGGGTTTTGAATTAAAAATGCTAATGTTTATGTGGCTTTGTGATTATACCCTATAGAATAAAAACTACATTTTAAAAAAGACTACTTTCTCTAAATTAAGTGATTTTTAATGTGTCCTGCTTGCCAAGTGCAATCTTTGTGTAGAAAACAATGATCCAAGACTCATAGAATATACACTAAATACACAAAGCACTGAATAAAATGTGTATCTGGTTATTAATAATAGTTGAGATTTATATTATATTTGATACTTAATATATTACTAACATAGTTAAATATTCTTTTGTATTTAAATTTTCTCATCCATTAAAAATCCACATGTTAAAAAAAAATCTACCCTCTGGTGTAGATTTTTTCCCCTGAGATTTAATGACTAGATGAAATTAATTAAATTAATCAAGCCTTCAACTTCTACAAACTTGACGATTAATTCCTAGGAAATATTATATGTGCAAATGTGTTATTTTTTAGTGGTCAAGACCGATCACTTCACTATTGAGTTAATGCCTCTGATCATAATTGCATGGTATATTGCTTTCATCATATTAGTGCCAGTTAGCACACTGTTAAGCAGTTCTAAATCCTTTAAGCCCTTTTCTCCTTTTGCTATATGATATCCAAAAAGAAATTTTTAAAATACTACTCATATTACTTCACAAGTTCAGCAGTGTCAAAGAGCCTTCTCCTTTTTTAACATTTCAGCATTAATGTGAGGATATATCACATGAAATTTTAATTTGAGAATCTATCATTTAAATTTTGAAAGAAATGCATGGCAATTCTTGACTTATGTCTCATTTCTCTCATTTTGCCAAGTGATAAAATCCAGCATATTGTACCCCAAGTCATGCATTATTACATAGTGCAGGTTTACAAAACCACTAAATCACTTGCTATGTTATTCAGGGAAATATCATTATAGTGGAATAGAAACAAGCCACAAAGTAGAAGATGTGTTACTGAAATAAATCAAATCCAAGTCTGCCTATTGAAAGAGTTTCCAAGGCAGAATCAAAATATGTCTAAATGAATATGAAGCCTAATTTGAGTTGAGGATGTGACAGAATGTCCATATTACATGATAAGATAGGCAATTTGACTGTTTGCAAATGTTTATCAGCTCACTAATGAGACCACAGGCTCAACATGAGCAGATTATAAGCAACTTATGTCCTCAAAGCAAAAGCACCTTAAAATATAAAAGGATATTAGATGAGCATTCAAAAATTCTAGAATTTGAGAGAGCTCAAATCATGGTGATTTAGTTCCTTCTATAACTTTTAGATATGTTGCAATTAAATTGTTGATTTAAATGCACATATGATTGACAAAAAAGCACAAATAGAAGAAAAGAACTCTGAAAACGTGGGTGGTATAGCTAAAGATGTTTAAATGAGTTGAGCTTTGGAAGCAGCCTGGTAAAAGGGGCTTTACTTGTGTTAGATTTTGAAAGTCCTAAAGCAAAGGGCTTTCTTGTTTTCTTTTTATATAGTAGCAGAATGGTACTTCTCTGGGTCTTTACCTACTATGGATCTCAATTTTCTCACAATTGTGATAAGCAAATGAAGTTAAACTTGAACTTCTGCACTCATACACAGTTGGTTAGAATATTGCTATTTGGTTTATATTAAAATGCAAAACAATACTATTCTTTCCATTTCAAAAGGTGATTTTGGGCATAGGGATTCAAGGAATTAGAAAAAGTAGTGATGTAGGAAGAAATTAGATTGGTATGTTTTGTTTACAATGATAGAAAAGATTGCTGGAATAGCCCTCAGTGAAGCACCGTTTTCTCCCTTCCTTTGCAATAACACGGTTGCAACTGTTTACAGAGATGGACTTGCAAAGTTCAGAGGCCAAGTAGATGTCCCCACACTCTCTGTGCTCCAGCAGCAAGTCTGCTTAGGATGCTGTGTGAATGGAAAAAGACGAAAACTTGAGAATTCTCTTTTACAAACTCTAATTTTTGTCTGTTTCATATAGGTGCGTGCGAGTGCCATTGCCCAAGATGCTGATCAGAATTACGACTATGCCAGTAACAGTGTGGTTCTGCATCTGGAGCCAGGAGATGAAGTCTATATCAAATTAGATGGTGGGAAAGCCCATGGAGGAAACAACAACAAATACAGCACGTTTTCTGGATTTATTATTTATGCTGACTGATAATGCAGAAACTAAGCTTATTATTCTGAGTTTGAACACTGGATTTGAATGGCTACCGTCAGTGAATCAAGGATCCCAGGGGATGCCAATTGCAGGGCACCTCGGTTGTGTAAATGTGGGGAAATCAAATGCTACCTGACTCACATCTGTATCACTCAGAAACATTATGTAAAAAAGTATTTAAAGCAAGATAAGCAGATGTGTGATCCACTACCGCCAAAGCAAATACTCCTATCGTTAGTGTCCATGTGAATGAAGTCCTATTATAGATCACAAATTTTTATAGAAAAATCTAAGACAATGAATTATTTCTTCAATATATATGATACTTTGGTGTACTGTGATCTTGCTGCTCTTATCCATATGTCAGCTTTGGTTCTTGTGAGTTTTCCTGCTTATTATGATACTGGAGCCCATTCATAGTGTGTGGAAGAATCATTTTACCCTGCAGGAGAAGGTCTAATTGAAGTAATGCTGCTTGTCCCCAAAGAAATTGTTTGCCTTGTACTCTTGTTAACTTTAGAGCTAGACCTGGGAAAGATTCAACTTCAAGCCTTAACCTGGAATTTTCTGGATTTGTGGGAATTCCCAAGCCTATTACCATTTTCACATTTTCCTTTTCTTATGAATTTTCTTTTTTTTCCTTTTCTGGTGATAGTCTTTAAAAATAGATATTGAAATTGTACCATAGGATTACCCTCTAAGTGTGAAAATGTGTAATTATGTATGGTATTTAGAAAATCCCCTGTGTGTCCATTTTGTCAATAGAATACACTTAGATTTACTTGGAAAGTCAGAGAAATTTATTCTTTGGTATTACATCAGACTGAGGCTTTTGCCTTTTTTGGAACAAAAGATTATACATAACCCAATGCACAAAGGTTTAATTTGAACTTCTGCATGCGTCACCAAGGGGACACTAGGTAAGACCTTCAAACAGTTACTACAAATCTGTGGCCTGAGGTTATTTCAAAATTAACAATTTCACATCTAACCAATATGATGATAAAGTGTATATATTTTATATAAATACCTGCCACACACATTTATATACATATACATATATGTTAGATGAAATATTATATATATATGGCTTCAGTCCATGAGGCACAGTGACTGTACAGCCTCAAAATTTTAATTTAAAAAAGGTGTATATATACACACAGAAACATGCATAAATTATTTGACTTATTTTGGACTGAAATATATTTTAGATGATGAAAATATATGGAGTTATCAAAATAATTAAAACAACTTCTCTTTAAGAGTTATACAGAAAATGAAATCTTAACTAGGTTAAAATGCCCTATCTTCACATGTATGTAAGTTAAGCCTATGGTTGCTTTTTTACCATATGCCAATCAATACTTTAACTGCATTATCTGGCAGACTATTAATATCAGGACTGCAGAAATAAAGTGGCTTTCCTTCACAGTGTTTATGAATAATATTCATTTGAGTTATCAGTTGTTTTCTTTTTTCTTAGTTGAATTGAAGCTGATGGTCAAGCAGATTTTTAGAGTAGTGCAAACCCTTTCTCTCTAGTTAAAACACACCACCACCCAAAGCCATCTCTTTAATCTAAGGAAAAGATTAAAATGCATGTTGATTTGTATTAACTATCACACAACTTCCACCATTACAATGAGAAATCACTTCCTGTTTCATTGCCTTTGAAGACTTTGACAAGTAGGTTTCAAAAACAGAGATTTAAAAATCTGCTTGTTTTACTGATGAAGGACATTTGCATTTTTTCATTTAAAGGATTTGGTTTGTTATCCTGGCTCATTCCTTTTTGGTACTTTCTGTTCCAATACACGAAGAGCTTGATCATCTTTGATAAGCTGAAATATCTTTAATTTAACAAACTTCGACTTTCCAAGAGTTATTCATGGTGTTCCCTTCTGAAGGTGATGCTTGCTTTGTTTAAATGCCTTGGTCTGAGTAACCATCATGATTTATATGATTAAAAACACTTAGCCCTTTCATCGAGAATAATGACGAATTCTATTTGGCTTTTCTGATATGTAAGATAGCTCACAAATGAATTAATAGTTTTTTATTTCTATTTAACAATATATATTTATCAAAGAGAAATTGGCAGTAAAAGTTTGGAGACATGTTCTAGGTACCAAATGGCATAGTGAAGATTCAATCAAAAGATTAATTTATGAACAACAGTGCATATCAATTAAAAGTTTTAACCAACAGTTTTAAAAAAGGGTTTATTTATACAAAATATCAGGGCTGGATACCTTTTAAAGAGGTAGGCTTTAGAATCAGACTGTCATTTCCAACAGACTTGACCTTTTCTTCAGATAAATAAGCATTGTTTTCTCTGTTGAGGCCCGAGGACAAACAAAAAATGTAAAGGAAATAAAGGGACCTTTTTTTGCATTATATCTTATAAATTAATTAAATTGTGGCCTTTGTTATTATAAATGTAATGATTCATTAAACTATATTATGTAATATATTTTGACTTTAATGATTGAATTTTATAATTCACTGTTATGTGTTTTTATACAAACCTTGCAAAACAACAAAATTTATAGAAAAAATGGATACAAGAAAGCAAAAGGCATAAAAACTTATTTATTATGGGTATATGTAGGTAGATAGATGGTATATAATTAACCTTCCAAAATATTTTTATTGTTGTGATTTGGTTATTATATTACAGTGGTCTTTGATAAATTTAATTTCCCTTACTGCAAAAGCTATTTTAAATCGCCATATTATTCATTAAGCATTAATTAAAGAACAGCAGGATAATTAGTAGCATCATCAATATTACAAGAAACATTAGATTGCTCCAGAAGGGGGTAATTTAACTAGAAACACTTTAAATTTTCTCAAGTAGTGCAGTTGATAGATTAGGAAAAAAACCCAAAAACCCCACTTAAGGTATACAGGCTTTAAATCATTGTTTGAGAATACATAATCCTGTATTTATTTTGTTAAATCAAAACAACAGGGCTCAATTAGGTTCAGTAACTCCCCAGAGGTGCAAATCTAATAGTTGGCCAGTTTCAGAGAAAGCAAACTTCTCTTTCTCATAAGAAAGAAGTGATCTGTCATTAGTTCTATGTAGCTCAGGCTAATATCTCACAGTAGGTTTGAAATCACTGAATGTCACCTGCAAGGGTTATACTCAAGGTGTAAACTCACACATAACATCCTATTTGAAAGTTAGCCATTGCTTAGGGTTTTCTATCAATATCTTATCAACTGCACGCTGAGTTATACCTCTAAGTAACATTTTAGGAACGATGTTGGTGAGTATATGAGAATAGCCGTGACCTCCATACTTCATCAGTCGATGCTTCGTGTGTATGTCATGTGCCATCAGAATTCGATCTTCATAGCCCTCCTCCACCAGGAGACGCACCCTGTGGAAAATGTTAACCCATGATGTGCCATTTGTCTCACAGTTTGGATTTTCAGGGTGTTTTAAAGTTTCTGCTCAGAAACCTATTGTGCTTATGGTGAAGAGACTGTGGCATGTGTATTGGGAGACCCTTAATAAACATTGTGTGGCAATGATGGAGGTACTGCTGCATCCTAGAAGGAAAAAAAATCTTTATTCTACGCACACAGAAATTTCTAGCCTGTGATATTTATGGCAATGCCTGGCAATGCTGCATTAAATATAGCTTCTAATAGGATGTGCCAGTTCCAATGAATGACCGCGTTAGCATTTCACTAAATAACTTCATTCCGGATTTGTATTCAGCTCTGATCTCTCAAATGCGCCCCCCCCCCCCCCCCTGCTTTTAGGCCCATTTTGAGATTTCATTCTCACTCTCTCTTTTGATCTAGCAAATAAAATCAGTGGGTATTTGGGATTAAAATACAGAAACAAAAGGAATCTTCGTGATAAAGCCCTGGGAGAGTAAAAATCAGTTGGTTTGCAAATGAAGGGCAGCTGTACAGTCATTGAAGAAGGGTCGGCAAAAGCACTTCTGTTTTTTGAGATTTTGTTCCTTTGAAGTCTATGGGAACTATGACTCAGTAGAGGTCTCTGAGCATTGGGTTAAATTGACCAAAAAAATTTACTCCACCCTTCTTCCTTGTCAATAAGATTGCTAAAATAATAAGTGGTTCCTTTAAATTTATAGTCAGTTGACGAAGAAACAGCTTCCTGACTTTTGTCTAAAAATGTAAGCCTCTTTGCTTAGTTAAGTGCTGTAATCTGTAGTGTGAGTCACCTCCCGACAGCCACCATCTGTATGTGTCTGGACTCTGGGCAGGGTCTGTCTTGATTCCCATGGTAAGGCAGAAACGAAACTTGCAAACAATGGTTCTTCTATGAGATTCTTGTTCAGTCTGTTTGGATACTGAGCATCCCAAATGGATGCAGCTGGGGGGACAGCACTTTCCTCCAGGTTCTGAGCATTCAAAAGATATCCTTTTGCTTTTGGTAGAGACCATTTCTTTGCATTCCCTGTATGAGACCTATTTAATAACTACCATGGTAAACAAAATGTAAGGCACTCACACAAAACACTCAGGCTCAAAGTCCTTCCTTCTGAGAATGTGCATTTTAAAATACATTATAATTGAAGATTAGATCTTGTATTTGCAGGTCAAAGGAATGCAAGTACCAGAGCAGAAAAGCCAACCTTGGTGCTTTGTCTAGGAATCAGCATTTATGCCATGGGTATCCCATGCGTGCCCCATAAATGCACCGAATGCTGTTTGTGCCATCAGGTTATTTGGTGCCTTGAAATGTGCCCTGATCTGCAATTCCTTTTGGAACTAATTCTATTTAAGGGAATTATCTAAAAGGGGCATATGATCATTAATGGAAAAAAGGGAAAGATTTGACAGAATGCATACAAGATGCTGAAAATTAGTGTGATGTACTTTCATCCACACCTGCAAAGGAATATTGTAGAAGACACTTTCTCCCCAATGTTTTATGAATATTTTGAAAAATTTTAAAATTTCTTTTCTTTATCTGAGAGTTATGAGAACTCACTACCACAAGGGCATACATATGGATAAACAAATTCCTACAAGATGCCTTTTGTCATATTTTGAAACACAAGGTTATCAAATTGGGAATCAGTAAAGAAAAGAATATAGTAGGTAAAATGTTCTTATTTAAAACAGGGAACTAATAAAGCTCATTAAGTCAATGATCTGGAGATCAGTTATCTCATGAGCCAGATCATGTTCTGGCTCTAGAAACACAATACTATTCTGACTACTAGGGAAACCTGCCCGATCATGCCTTAACGAAGAGATGATATTTCATGTGCCACCGTGTAAAGAACAGGAGTTACAGAGATGCCGCCAGAAGGGAGGAACCGCTACAGATGAGAAGACAAAAAATCACAGTAATTATAGCAATACAAATGAGTTAGTGTTTTGCAAACAAATATTAGAGAGAGACTACAAAGTGTGAAAAGGCAGAGATATAATAAGATTTGAGAAATGGAGCAGAAGATTGAAAACAGGTGTTAGACACAGAATTTGTGGTGCTGAAAACCAGAGGTAGGCAGAAGCATGCTTATATGTTTTTGCACTTCAGAGATGTCAGACTACTATGGCTAAGCAGGACTGCAGATGAATGATAGAAACCAAGATGTGGGGAACAATGGGGTACTGGAGTATGCACAACCCACAAGGTCATTCAGCTATTAACATGAGCTGTTCTGGAGTACACACAACTCACAAGGTCATTCTGTTATTAACATGAGTGACCCCAAGGCATGGCTATAATTTAAAGAAGATTAAGCATACATACAAACACATACCTATAAATATATGCA